TAGTCTGATCTAGAGTTGGTCTTTGGGATAAACCCTCATATAAAGACTTATGTAAAAGTAACTATGCGGTAGAAAGGCGACGATCAAGACTCTGGATCCCGAAGACTTCCAGCCTATGGTAGCTAAGAAGAAGCAGCCAAATTAGACTGCAGAATCTTTCCGTGTAGGAGACTTCCGATCTTCATCAGGATCTGGCTAGTCATTCGAGACTGCCGTAAGTGAGCTGGGAAGCCTTCGTGCCAGGCAGGGTATACTATCTAGATAGCCGTTCCAGATTTTCCAGCGGCTATACTAACTAGTATAGTTCGACTATAAATACTATTACTTCCGGTAGGATACGGCTGTCACTCCAACACACCTTCAACATGCGTGGAAGGTCCTTCGTAGAATGAGCGATGAAATCTGCTATGAGGAGAGATCATGAATGTGGAGAAGTTTGGCCTATATTTACTCGAGAACGCAAGTATACTCCGGAAAACCGGAGAAGAAATTCTTTGAAGCCACCTCACTCTCGTGCAGCATTTCGACGTAGCCGACTCGAGAGTATGTGTGTCGCTTAGTCTGAATTAATGCCAAACCAAACAATTCCCAAAATTTACTGAACATATGACGAGCTTCGATTGGCAGGCAGTAGATCTCGGTGCGCATCTCGCTCTTGACATCAAATACCACCTCGCATCGAGCTCGCGGATATTTCACTGTAGGCTTCTGACCTTTCACTCCAGGGGCTTCAAGACTCAGTACAGTCATGGCAGTCTCTTCCGGAAGAGTCATGACGCTTGGAATGAGCGTTGCAGACGCGAGGGGTCCTTTCAGAGTGACACTACCACTGGCCACTTGACCTGTCTCATCTTCTCCGTAAGGAATACATTCAGCGCCGATGACAAGCGCAAAAGACTGAGCAGTTTTCTTCTGCACAGAATGTGTGTCTGGATAACACAACTGAACAGCACCGTCCACAGAAGCCCAAGACCAGGAAGGGGCGCGATACGAAGGAGGTCTGCGACCGGGTTCTAAGACCTTCCAAGTCAAACACCCAGGAAGATTCTGACGCCAAAACCCGGCAAGATAAACGTCTTCATCATACCCTAGATCTTTGAGGCGTCTCTGGACATCTTTTGCCAAGCCTGAGATAGCTACAAGCTTGTCCGAGGGAACTGTAAGCTGGCAAGCCGTGAAAACCATCGTGATCGCGCACCAATCTACGTAGATCTGGTCTCTAGGATCACCTATGTACCTTATCTTTGGGGCATCAAGAAGCTGTTTCCAGAGCTGGTTGTGTTGAACGACCGGCGATAATAACGATGATTTGTCTAGAGACTCCCCGTTATTATCGTTCTTGTCGTTGTTATAGCCATCGTACTCGTAAACATTGTTCGGCTGTATTTCGCAGCAGGTACACTCCCTGCACTCCCAGAAAACTTGTTTCCGACCAAAGTGCAAAACACGCGGGCACAATAAGCGTTCCTGCAAGGTCCAGCCTCGCTTTGGCAAAGGTTCTCGCTCAAATGTTACTTTCCAAGCCCAACCCTTTTCTGAGCGAAACCTGAATGCCTTGAGATCACTCGAATCATCGACACGTATGTTGACGACACTAGGAACAACTTGTGCAGAGTCTCGGGAGAAAAAGCAGTCATCAGCATCGTTACTTGCCCCCAGGGCAGAAATTCCCAAAAATGCTTTCTTGTATATTTGCCCCATAGCTGCGGATTCGCTTTGCCAGTCCTCAGGAGAATCCTGGAGTATACAGAGACGGTCAATCCATATGTACCGGATTTTCAACCGTTCAATAATGACGAAAGCATCTTTGAATGTTCTGGGAAGGACAGAGAGTGGCTGATATTCTTTGAGTTTGCGGAATGTGTCCTTTAACAAGATCAAGTTGGGGTTGGTTGGCGTTGAGCCCCAGCAGTGGCTTAGCGTTATGTAGCGCTCTCCGGGCTGGACCTGTTGCCTTTCAACAAGACGGAAAAATTTATCAAACCTGTCTGTTTGCAGTTCTAAAAGCCGGCTTGGGATGAAGTTTGCTTCATCGTGTTGATCATCGCAAGTCGGATGTCCTTGAAGACATCGATTAAGCCACCGCTCAATTAACACCCACGTTGTCTGGTCGCCAGTGAATGCCCCTATTTCAAAGCTCAAATTCTCATCAAAACCTTTAAAAATTGTACCAAGACAATTATTAGAGGCCAGCGTGATTGGGTAATCTATGCCATGGAGCAAAGAAGCCTTCGTGTCTGGCACATACCTTCATGCGGAATCATATCACAGGTGCCGGAGATATTACTATAGTACACCGTCATTTCCACGCACCGAGGCTTCAATAATATCTTGAAAACGGAAAAATATTCAACACCCTCCAGTTGTGTGTTAAGGGTTTCCCGGTCCAGGTTCTCCATGTCTTGCAATGGCGCGAATTTGCAGCATACGACACAGCCTTGCTCGATAGATGCCAGAAAGGATTCCCTGGTGAGGTGATGCCCAAACACCCATCTTTCCGGTTCCCACTGGCTACCTCGGCCTTGAGTAGGGTCAGTATCAGAAATAACGAACGGCCAGCATATACGTTGCAGGGCATACTATTGCCATATTCTTCGTCGCTGTCGTCTGTCTTCAGCCGTCTTGTTCTATTAGGGTCCCAAATACCCTCTAGCCCCTCTATGCAGATCTTGCACAGCATGACTTAAGGACTTCGTTGCTTCTTCACAGAGAGCGTTATGTCGTTGAAAGTACTTACTCTCACGGTGGTCGGTTGCGGCTTCCCCTCATCGGGCATCCGTGCGGGCTTACCAAATCGGGAAAAGTTGCGTGGAACCTGGTAGTGACTGCTCCTGGCCAGTAACTAATGAGTGGTAACACTTCCTGCGCCCACTAAGAAGGAGTACTAGATATCTAATTAGAGGGATCTCGAGGCAAGACTGTATAGGAATCCTCCCTCGATAATTTCGGACATAGGCATCGGAGGTTTCAGCGGAGTCGGCCAAATTGATGTCTTCTATTTGCTATTCCATGTGAGAAGGACATTCTTAGTAGAAGTTATTTGACTATGAAAAGATATGTTGCAGGTACACAGATGAATCTAGTTCTTAATATGTTAGGCAGATCTCCACTACGCTCGGGTATAAGAATAGCTTAACTCCGCCCTCGGTTCCTCCCGGCCGCAGTAAGTCTCGCTTACGATCTTGTCCAACAAATCAGGTATGACCTGATTGTTTAGTCGAGATGATCGTCAACTATGTCCACAATGGATATATTGATGTTGTTTCATTTCGTACTCGATACACAGGTATGAGCACCTTTGTGGTGCATGGACGTGTGGGTCAGTGTCATCCGGTTACATAAAGCCCGGACTTAAGCAAGTTAGCCTTTCTTACCTCCGTTTCGATGTACCCTAGATGACATGACATCAATTAGTACCTTGGCGCAGTAACCGAGGGCAGTGAGTATATAACAATCCATGTGTATGTCTTCCGGAAGTGTTGTAAAGTTCTCTCAATTTAAGTGAATTCTCACTATCACATCAATTGCCTTGCACCTTCACAAATCGTCAAAATGGCTTCTCTCGAGCAAGCAGCACAAACCTCCCCCCTCTTCCGCCACCGCCAATTGGCCCCAGCAGCAGCTGTCCGCGTATCTCCATTATGCCTCGGAGCCATGACATTTGGCAACCGCCAAGAGTCCCGCTACGGAGATTGTACTCGTGAAGACGCCTTCGCCATCCTCGACCACTTCTACAGCCAAGGAGGCAACTTCATCGACACCGCCAGCGGCTACCAAGAAGGCCAATCAGAGGTCCTAGTCGGCGACTGGATGGCAGAGCGCAAGAACCGCGACGAGATTGTGCTGGCAACCAAATACACAACCGCCTATATGACACACCACAAAGACGCCATTCAATCCAACTACGGCGGTAACAATGCCAAGTCCATGAAAGTCAGCGTAGAGCAATCCCTACGCAAGCTCCAGACCTCTTACATCGACCTACTCTACGTCCACTGGTGGGACTTTACCACCTCAATCCCGGAGCTCATGCACGCGCTAAACGACCTCGTCGTGGCGGGGAAAGTCATTTACCTCGGTATTTCGGATACCCCCGCCTGGGTGGTGACCAAAGCGAACCAATATGCCCGGGATCACGGACTACGTCCGTTTGCTGTGTACCAGGGGATGTGGAGCGCAGCAATGCGCGACTTTGAACGGGATATTATTCCCATGGCCAGGGAAGAGGGGATGGCGTTGTGCCCCTATGGTGTGCTGAACCAGGGTCGGTTCCAGACTAGAGAGGCCTTTGAGGAGCGGGAGAAGCATAACCCCGGTCGCAAGTTCATTCCTACCTCCGAGCATGATAAGAAGGTTTCTGCTGCTCTTGAGGACATTAGCAATGCTAAGGGCGTGAAGCTGCTCGATGTGGCCTTGGCCTATGTGATGCAGAAGTCTGTCTATGTGTTCCCGATTGTCGGTTGCAGGAAGATCGATCATATCAAGGGTAGCATTGCGAGCTTGAGCGTGACTCTTACAGATGAGGAGATGGAAAGGGTTGACAGCGCCTACCCCTTTGACTTTGGGTTCCCCCACACTTTCCTGAGTGGCTCAATGTTTGATCATTCTACTCCCAGGATGGCTGAAAAGCCGGGTGATGTCTGGCTGACGAAGGTGATGGGCAAGTTCGACTGGGTCGAGCAAACTAAGCCGATTAAACCGGCTCCTTGAGTATGCTATTATAGCTCAAGCATGATGTTATATTTATGAAAAATATACGGAAATAATAAAATGCTATATCCATCCGCTGCCACAGTGCTACCTGGATTAAATCTGAAGAAATATGCTTCTTATTATCCATCCACACTTAGAGAAAAGATGTAGAAAAAGTGCTGATCGAAAATACAAACAGGAGTCTAGGTAAAATAATCTAACGGCAAACCAAAGCTTTCACGTCAGGCAAACAGCACCAGTCACTTCTATTGTGAATGGTACTGGCAATAGGGTTGGTTGGCCGGATTTTATGTCATCTGGTACATGGGATAACGATGATCATCCCCATAGTTGGGTGCAGATGGTGGAAGCGAATGGTAGACTGGCGCCGTACCCATTGCAGGATAAGTCTGGACCTGAGGCTTCCGTCTTGCTTGAGAGCAGCACCAAGTGGTAATGGTCCAGGACACCAAAGAACACAAAGACAAAGCCACACTGAACCATATAACGGTAAATGCACGAGTGCCCCACGTGCCGGATATGTTTCGTGATTCCAGCTCAGTGGCAAGTATACCCTTCAAGGAACGAAATTGAATGTCGTGAGTGCAGCAGCTGCCAACAGGAAAATAAATGCGGCACCGGAGACAAGGCTGATGACGAAACAGTTGAATGTCTTGTTTATAACGATAAGTGCGGCGAGCAGTTGGACAGCTGTAAGAAGAATGGCCAGGATGTATGTAATTTGCATCCAGGTTGAGGTTGTTTTATATGCACGCAGTGAGTGTCGAAAAGCTGACGAAAGATTGGTCTCCTTTCCCTCCTTGCCCATAGCTTTCAGCACATTGAAGTACGAGCCAGCTCTCGGGGTCATGCAATTCATTGTCGTGTTGCTGTTATTACTTCCACAGTAACCCATTATGCCGACCAGGTAAGTTTGAATCAACTGGCTCCCATCCCGTGTTGTACCCAATGCATTCGACGTGGAAAGATTTGGGCTACCTTGGATATCGATCTTGATGCGACAAGTATAATAGTCTTGATGATTGAAACTGCAATTATGCTCGAGGCTTACTTTGAAAAAGTTGAGTCTTTCAAGTTCATGACTTCCCATCTTTGTACATGCCAGACCGATCACGACAAGACATAGTAATGTCCCGATAGTCAGCAAACACGAAGTAGTCACGAATAGGACTCGGTATAGATTCGCCATGGCTAAAGAATCCGATACTGGTGATGCTGTCTTCAAAGGAGCGTTTGATTATGCCCCGAGATGTTTTCACTGCGATGAGCCATGGTTTATAAGCTGGTGAAAACCGATTGATAGAAGAAAATTCCCTCAATATGCTTGGTAGCGAGAGACGAAAAATTGATAGCCCCCTACTCTTGAATACCCTGAATATCTTAATCGTGACGAGGCTCAACGCTTGATTGAAGACGTGGCTGGATTGACTAAATTAACCTAACTCAGGGCAGATAATAGCTTATTAGTCAAGCCAAACTTAAACCTGCCGAGTGGGTCAGACCCTGATAATATTGGGTAAGAAACCGAGATACGGATGCGAACTTCCTATTCGGGATAAGCCTCAGGACTTTCAGCGGCACCAAGCTTTTCACGTTCCGGTTCTTGGTAGGGATCCTCGCGATTCCACCCACTATACCAGTATGTCCGAGTACTCTCCGTGTCGGGCCACATGGGCAACGGAACTTTTCAGGCACCACATGCGCCGGGGAGAAATAGCACACCCGGACGCCCTCTGCCAAGAGGCCTGAGCCACGAATAGTGTTCAAAAGTGAGCTTTTATGAAAGCCTGCCCCATGTATAATTGGCCAAGACAAACTATTACACTACAAAATCAGAGCCAGGCCACTTGTTGGAAACCCCTTCATGCAGAACCCCACCTATGCCCTGGCCCAGGGAAACGGATTGATTGACTGTAATCCAAGTAGGCATTGCAATGACAAAACAAGACAAGCAGCTCCTCTTTAGACGGTATGCCCACCCCCTATTCCCTAATATATAAGGCACAGATTTCCCGCTCGATCTCTGATTTTCATAACAGAGTCTAAGAATCCCCAAACATTTTATCTACACAATGGCAGACGCAGAGAAGGTTTACCGAGCTCACCCCAGAGACCTACCGACCTATGATCAAGCCACCTCAGATGAGCTTCGCAGGATCACCCAGAACACTAGCTGGAACTATTCTCTCTTTGATTGTTGTTCCCCAGGTACATTATGTCAGTAATGATTTCCCAATTCCCTTCACCATCGCAATCCCTAACCGAGCCGATGTCTAGGCTTGACCAGCTGCTGCCTTCCATGCCTTGCCTTCGGCAAAACGCAATCACGACTTCGTGACCCCACACTGCAGAGCTACGAATCGATTAACGGTGATGTTAGTTCTCGACACACTTTCTACCCCTCTAGAAACTAACGCTGTCCAGTGTGTGATCTGGTCCTTCCTCGGCCTTGGTCTTTCACAGTGGATTTACCAGACTATCAGAAGAGGCGAACTGCGCAACAAGTATGGAATTGAGGGATCCTGCTGCGGTGATTGCTGTGTGAGCATGTGCTGTGGCTGCTGCGCACTCATTCAAGAAGAGAAGGAGGCTGAAATACGTACCAGACCTCAGGTTACAGGGTACCAAATGGCACCTCAGATGGCATATCCTCAATAAGCCGGCCGTGGTCACGCAAACTTGTTATTTTTGTATTTATAGTAATATACCTAATTATTGTTTTGAGTCTTGTTTTGGATTGGTGGCCTCGAATATACACACACATGTATGGCTATTTCATAAATGTTCTTCTTGAGATCAACAAGATAGTACTCGTACTGAAGCTTGACTACTCAAGCTGTGGTGGTCGTTGCAAAACTTTAGTAGACACCTAGTCCAATACTTGTAGCATAAAGACTCGGAAAACAAGGGCAATATACCGGATAAGCGACCAGAACATTTATAAGTAATATCAAGGCCCAGAGAAAGGTTCGTCTAAGGCGCCACCGTTAGATCTTAGTGCTGACGGTGGCTTAAACGGCTCGAGGATCTCCAGGGGTACGGCGATTGAGGTAAAAGGTATTGTAAGCAGGTTCATTTGTGGGACTCAGCCTGATTCTTCAAACCACATGAACTACTTTGTAGCCTTCTAGGACTTTAATACTGTATGACCGTGGGATTCTCATTTGTGCATGCAGAAATGGATCAATCCCTTTTTCCGGGGTCTTTTTCTTCATAATTAGCCACGGGAACAAATTTGTAAGACCACTTTCTGCATAGCATATCAATGTTGTTTGAAAGTTGCGTACGATTTAGGACACAATTCCCCGGGTGGAGGTTCTTTGCTGGCCAGGGCCCAGTATAGAGTCTATTACTGATTTGAAGTTCGGATATAAGAAAGTCTAGATACTCGGTCTTGTTGGCTGGCAAAATGGGGTTCCAAGTTTGCCACTTCAGAGCATCAACAGTAAGGATACAGAACATCTCAATATGCACCTTATTGTGATATTTTGTATGTACTATCTTGAAGCAGGAGGTTTCGCCGAGAGAGGACCCGCAGGGCTCTCTCATGGGTGGAGAAAAGTCAAAATGCGAAAACGAACTTCCCGAACGGGATTCAGAGCCCTTTCTTGTCTCCACATCCCCATATTCGTCAGTGGCAGTGCCTATTCGATATTGTTTACCCACCTCAGGGCAATTCGTGTTTGCGTTTAATCCTACTGGGTCATTAGCCAAATAATTCTATAACATTAAGATAAATCCCATAACGTGGTCTACAAATCAACACCAACAATAAGATCCTACTCCCATCTTTGTTGGATAGGGCTGTTGATGGGATTATTTCGAACATGACGGTTCCTCATTATAGCCCATGTTCGTGCTGAACTTATTAACCGCACTATTGCGCTCACCCATGGCGCGGCTGCTATTGCCGGTGCCGCTTGGTCTGGTCCCCTGGGACGAAATGGTGAATTACTCTGGCCTGGGGTAAAATCCCGGGTCGGTTATCAGCGGCTTTGGCTCAGTAATAGGAGTGAATAGCATTGGGTCGGATGAGTGGTTTAACTGTGCAGGAGTACAGTGACTTCACGAACGCGGCGGACCCCGATTTGGCTGAGTTTCGCAAAGCGGAGGAAATATCATTACTTATCATGGAATGGTAGGTCAAAACCATGCTCAATTCTTCATACTGTGATCGCCAAACTGACTTACTTCTGCTTGTACACTCTATGCTGATCCTAACATGCCGACCAGAGACACGGGAATCTACTACGACAATGTGAAGGCCATGTTCCCCGTCATTCAAAAGTTCTATAGTTTCTTCATGTTCCCTGGTTTGGGGCACTGTTCAGGAGGAAAGGGGGGCAGCCCACGACTGTCTTCGCTCCCTTGAGACGCTGGGTTGAAAATGGCACTGCACCTGACACCCTACCTGTAGAGTTCTCTGGGGGTAATGGCACCACATACAACAGGATTCTGTGCCCTTATCCAGCTCAAGCGAAGTATATTGGGGGTGATGTTTCATCTGCCAATAGCTATCGATGCGAGTAATCGTATTGTGTAACAAGTTCTCAGCTACGTACTTGAACTCTTGCTAGTTTATAAGCATTGTAGCTGCTTCAACAATCTATCTGAATGTAACACGCTACATACACTTCTGGATATATCTCAAACCAAATAACTGCTGATAAACCTAACGGTCCGCCATCCTTTCGACTTCTTTCTGCTTTGCTTCCTCTTCTTCATACTCCCTTCTCATGATCCTCTGTGCTTCTTCCCACGCCCTCGTCTTCTCAATGTCCTGCAACTGCTCCAGAAATTTCGTCCAGAATCTAGGCCTCACCTTCCTCTCCAACCACTCCATGTCTTCTGGATGGTCGCGCATATGGTCCAACTCTCGGACGGGAATCCTCCGCGCACTCCTTAACCTTCGCCGCACTATATCCCGAACGGGCGGTTTTTCTGAAGGCTCATATGGTGCTGGTGTGAAAGGCACACTTTTAAGCTCAGCTTGTACGTCCTCGAATTGAAGGATTTGGGGCTTGTCGATGCTATATTCAATCATCAACAAAGGCCACTGCATTGCAGTTCAGTACTGAGGGTGGGGTATACAATTTGCTTCCGTCCCATTCATAGCACACATTCGGTACTCTGGAGTCATCACCACCTGGGGCAGTTCCATAGTCTATCAAAAAGAAACACATTCGGTGGCTGTATCCGAATTCATCACCGTAGGTGTACCATCGGTGCACGTGACCGTCGAAGTCGCATTTCCATGTATGTTGGCAGATAATGTCAAGCATGGTGAAGAGCTTGTCATAGTATATGTTCTTGTCGCCAGCTTCGTTGGTAGAGGGTACCAGGTGGGTCAGAGTTTGGACGAGAACACGGATCGGGGAGGGGGACAGAGTGGGTGGAGGGGTAGGGTTGCGATTCGGCAAGGGGGCAAGTGACATCGCTTGTGCAGTTCTTTATGAAGCTGATGAAATTAAAAAGAATTAGAAGGGAGTATCAAATGTGAGGGAAAATAAAAGAAGGGCGGAGGGACGGGAATCCGTGAGATGGGATGGTGGATGGATGGACAGAACCCAGCGCTTACTGGAGGCGTGACACTGACACTTTAGTTCCTGACTAGACGCCCATGCAGCGCCACGAGAAAGTCAGTGCCCAGGTAGATGATATGCAGCTTCACATCTCGGTTCTTAACTCAAAATATTCCTCGCCAATTAATGCCTTGAAGTTACAGTACGGGAAACCTCAAGGGTAGCATCAGAGGTGTTTTGGTTGGTAGTTTTGGAGACCCGTACACTCAAACTGCCATTGCTGCTGGCCCACCATGATGCATTGAAGCTCGACCATGGCCTCTAATCTCGTTTGCTACTGCTTTTTACGGACTAAAATATTGCCAAGAAACCCATTTCTCATAGAAAGCCATTTATAAGTGCTTACTCCACGATTGGTTGAGTCTGGTCTTGATGATCAGGGACAGAGGGAAAGCATTTTCTGTGGGTGATAGTGATCGCTCTTTCTCGGGTTACTCCCTGACAGTGCCTTGGAAGAAGCATGGTCTATAAATTCTGCAGAGGTCATACCATCGACTGCTGGCAGAGATATTTCTAGCTCAAGTGGCACATCGATTTCGTTTCTGCAATCCTCATTCACCGAGTGAGAGGGACCCACCACAACAAAGCAAACTTTCCAGATGTTACCTTCCCTCCAAATTTTAGACATCTCCATGACACGTTCATCACGCTCTACAATACCGACTATCATCAAGTTCTCTTGGTCAATACAGGATGCCATCGACCGGCAGTTGTGCGAACTGCGGGAAAGAGGCAAAGTGGAGGTGTTCGGCCTGCGGAGGCGCACCAGAATACACTCCTGGCGATGGTTTGCCAGTGTTTTACTGCGGGGTGACCTGTCAGGAGGCGCACCAACCCGTCCACAAAGCTCACTGCAAGACCATGCGTCGTCGAAAGAAACTTCTGCGGACGGCAGTCATCGCCAAGGCTGCATTCCTGGGGTACAGAGAACTTCATTTCGACGTTGACGTTACCAACATTGAGCGGCGCGACAACAATCTGTATCTTTCCATCAACCAGATGATCTTGGATAGGGATTCCTTGACTCTGGGTCGTCCTTTCCCAAAGAATTTGACCACGGACCCCAAGCATCAAGAGGCAGTCCTCACATGGCTTCAAGGAATTACTGCCTGTCCCTTGTCGTGCCGCTTGGTGACAAAGCTTTTGGCAGGTACGATTGTTCCCACTTCTTCAAAACTCTTTGTACACGTTGGGCGACCTGAAGCTGACACCGGTTAGACGTACCGTGCGAGATTTCTATGCTGGGGGTCAACGTTGGAAAGAGAAGCTTGAATATTCAGGTCGTCCCCCACTCTGACTCCGTTGACATTACTGGCCCGGATACTGCTGCTATACCGCACCACATCTTGAAGGTCAGAGTCCGGCAGCCGGGTGCTGATGAGACCTGGATTGTGGACCTCACTGGCGCTCAGTACGGCATTCAGGCTGCCCTTATCCCATATTTTAAGTATATGGCAGATCAAGAGTGTGTGATTGTGGGCAATCCAGAGCCATACAATATGACTGAGACCTGGGATTTGGATGTCGCGTCAGCCAAGTTAGCGGAGGTATTTGGAGAAAATCTGAGCTCCGTGCGTCAGCCACGTCTGCGTTTTGCTGCTTTCGTCGATACGGTTGACGAAGATATTTTAAAGGGGTCACCCGAGGAGTTCGTTCATAAGTTGGCACAATTCCGAGTAGCACTGAAGCAGTACATGCTGAACGAACCCCAGAACCCTTGAAGGTTATCTTCTAATGTTCGTATCATATGGCATGAATCTGAAGAGGGAAAATACTTGGGATGCACCCACGCAAATTATGTTGAAAGATTAGTCCATCAATTTGTTGCATTGAATGGAGAAGATGGAGTCACTCATGGTTGGGCATAGAAATTGGGTCTTATGTTTCTTACTCCATAGTTTCACTGCATGCGGCGGTCTACTGATAGGTATTTAAGTGAGGATTCCTGGGACAGTGATCGCATATTTTCTTATCCAATTAATTCCATTCACGACAGAAGATGTGCTTGCAAGTTGATGCCTAGTTGCGAAACAAGAAAAAGTCGATCATGCCATACAGAACCCCAGATCGCATAATCCAACTGAATCCTCCATCTGAAACAACCATATCCCACATACATGTCAATATCCCATCTTTCAAAGTTGACAAAAGCCGCTAAGAACCACAGCCAAAACAAGATAGGATTTCAAGTTGGGCATTGAGCTCGACGTAGATCCAGACGTCTTTCCCGAACCACAAACAACGAACTCAAGATGGTGGCCCATAGTAAGACAGTCCATTAGAGTCGATTGAGTTTCCTTGGTCGCATTGCAGTAAGCGGCACAATTATTCTCGCCGAAGTAACTGTACTGATTGCTTTTGCAGCACATCACTAAATAACCGTAAGGATTTTGTGTCCGATTGAGTCCTTGTTGCCAGATGGTGGTGGCGCAGTAATACGGATAAGGCAGGGTAGGTATTCCATTGTCGCCGGCGCATCGCTCCTGCGCCAGGGTACCGTTTGTGATGTTCATGGTTGTGGGGTACCTCCGAACGTTGTTCTGCTGGCTTATATCAGAAGAAAGACCTTGAACATACTCGAGGGACAAATACTTACTATAGGGGTGTAAATCCGTCTATATGAGTAAAGAAAGCAGAGGCATGTAACAGAAAGTAGAATGGAGCGGGTAACAAGGATCGAGTGTCGAGCAACATTGGGGAAGGGGTGACGTTTATAGCTTTTCCTGGAGATATTCTTAGGCTCAAATTCACGCAACAAATTTTCACTGACTGACTTCTAAACACAATATTGACTCTCTGATTCACATCAAGCCTATTATGAAAACTTGTTCTTTTAATGCTCATGTTACTTTGAAGACAAGTCAGCGTGATATACTGTAGCCTTGAACAACTTCAGAAGGCTAACGGCAACAGGGTTGAATACTTTAGGCTGCATTACTTATCTCAAAGGATATTAGGCCAATATATCCGCCCTACAAGGTTGCATTTCTGGGCTGTGCTACGACCTTATGGAAGTAACCGACATCACTCGTGAAATTCAAGTGGTCCATGTGGTAAGTGGGTCGAAGGATGGCGGCCTTTAGGCTTTGCCCAACTTCGAGACCCTGCAGTGCGGGGAAGCTGGCTGGCATCTTGGCAAACTACTCCTTTCCAATCCTATGTGCACTAATGCATATGGAAAGGGTGGGAAAACTGCCTTCCATCTCCAAATTCACCTGAGATATAGTCACCTATAAGACCTTTTGGATATGCATCCAGTCGCAAAGACAATCAAATCTGTTCCTGTAGTGGCTACTGAGAATGTGCTCATCTATAAACTGTGTTCATACTTTATATGGCTTGTCGGAAGAGATAGATGACGTTCTGAGACAGAGAGTTTCAGTAGACGAGATAGTCATATGACCGTGGTCTAAGTGACAAGGCTCTCTGGTAGGCCGCACGGTCATTCGAGTCATTTATTTCTTTCTTGGTATTTTCACTAATGCATGGAAAACAGGCCTATGCAACCACAACACAACGACTACATGAACGACGATGTAACGCCATATTCAATACCAGCCCTGTTGTCAGCGGTGACCGACGCTCCTTTTTCGTAACACTAAAAGGCTTTAACAGAGTAGTCTGTGGGAGTACATAATATAAGACTTGCAACAATGGCAGGCGTAACTCAAGACTCTCAACCATTAAGGCTTTCCTCCCCAGCGCGAGACCATGATGAAAATACCAAAAATTTCTTTGACTCTTTTCCTGGCAGTTACGGCGGCTGCCCTGGCGGCGCCGTCACCTTACACTCAGGAACATAAATACGCTCGAGTCACAGTGCAGCAACATAAGATCACCTCCGAGAAGCAAATTTTGGTTGAAGGATAGCTCTACTGGAGACATACTTGGTTCCGCCTGCTCAAATGCCCTGACCACGGGGGCGTTTTCCGACTTCGGTATCGTCGCAGATGTTGGACCTAATGGCGACGGCAATATTACTGCCGGACCTTCCACATTTGTTGTTCACGAGGATCCCCAGTACTCCGGTGGTATCACTTTTACAGAATGTATAATGATTATGAGTCGTTTGTGGTATGCGACGGCGTTCCTTTGCCCACCACTGTTCCATTGGACCCTATAAAAAGGAACGACACATCCCCCTGTTTCAGTGACACAGTCGACATGACTTTACAGCGAGCAGCGGAGACCATCCACGTTGTGGATACTTTTCCAGTGCCTGGTTCTCAAGCAAACTCCACAAGTGCTGTGTCTATGAGCAATTTGGAGCAGCGACAAACCGGCGCGTGCAGTCAGTGGTCACCTGCTACAAGGAAAGTTGGAGACGGCGATCCCCATCAGAACTATTGGCGGAAACAGTTGAGTGTGAGTTAATAATGCCTCTTTTTTTTTTTTTTTTTTTTTTTTTTTTTTTTTTTTTTTTTTTGATCTGACAATAGAGAATGATGTGCGACGAATAGGAGAACCTGGATTGCGGGGACGCAGACCATTGCACTGTTGGCGCATCCCAGTCAAAGTCGTATACAATCGGATGGACGGCGACTGCAGATGCATCACAATGGATCTCAGGCGGCTTTGCAGTGCAGGCGAGCTGGACAACTGGGCTTGACTATCAATGCACTGCTAGCTCCCATCAGACAGTCTGTATCTGGTACAACACCGCTCATACTGCTTACACTGTTCAAAACGGACCTTACAACCTTTGCACGGGATTCAACCCTAACAATGGTGCCGGCTTCGTCATGTTCTCGCCAAACCAGAATAACAAAGGTGGCGGATATTATTGCGTTATTGGCACATGTCGCAGCCAGGGGCAGTATTACTGGGACAAAAGTGGTCCTGCAGGTGGGCCTTGATGGATCTCAACTGGTACCAATGATGTAATGATGGTAGACATGAGGCTTGTTTTTGTGAAGTGTGTGGATATTAGTGATACAAGTGCATTAGAAAATGGTAATCCTGAATCTCTCAGTATGAGCCGTCGACTATGGTAATACTTCGTAGACAGATCAGCCCTAGATATGCCATGTGGGGCAATGTGTTAGAACAACACTCTCAGGGTTGTAAGGCGTCTTTCTGGAATCGGCCCCTCAAAAATACTAGGCCTGAACCATCTGGGTGGTGGATAGGTATATTCAGCCCTTTCATTGAACGTATATTGTGGAACAATATCTCACCGAACCCTGTATTGCTCAGTATTTGGTAAATTCCATCAGGCAAGTAGTCTCAGACGCAAGATGTTGAAATTCCTTTCCGGTACAGATCAAACAGCTAGGTCTATGAAATTTCCTCTCGTTACATACTATAGTGCTTAACTCTATCAACCGTACCTGCGGATATATTGTGATATAATAAAGTACAAAATTAAGAGTCCATGACTCAAATTAAGGGACACCTCTCCTCCGTTACTCCAATCCATGTAATTCCAAAAACTTCGCACAAGTGGTGTAACCAGTGCAATATACGGTAGGCTAAGAAGTCAGGTTTAGACATTTTAGGAAGTTAATAATATAATGGACCGTACTTACGTCCACGGACTTTGCACGATACTGCGAAGGATAGTAACGGTCCTGGAAGGTGTTGCCGAAGAGAAAGAGGGAGGAATTGACGTAGTGGCTTTTTGACTACCACCCATTTTTATTTATCCGGTAGTAGAATATATTAGCAGCGCTAAAGGAAAGGAAGGATATGCTGTGTGGAACAGTTGCATCCAGATACTAATGGTAGGAAATCAAAAGTCTGCTGGCTACGCGAGGTGAGAGTTCTTAGTAAGCTCTTGGCAGGTAAATATACGATTACTAAATCAATCCAGTATCCAAGAAAGTTGATATTAACAAGAAGTTAATCTTCCGGGATAACAGCTAAACCAAATTTCTTTGGGGCATCGATTAGAAATCCAAATTTTGCGTGTGTGACATGACCAGATATGCACTCATGAGGGGCATGAAGTGTGGCGTTGAATCAGTCTCTTGAGATAGTATTGAATCAGTCGCTCTAAACAGGCACTTTCCTTCAATTTATCTGCGTAGCATCTTTTTCGATCTTTTTACTTCGCTACCCCAAAAACGAGGTCTTACATAAAGATAAGATTACAGATATGATCTTCCCCTGATCCTTCCCCGGCCATCGTAGCAGTCGATGATTTCCCCATGGCGTAGGCCCTGTGGGGACCGGTCGGTACCAACTAGTAAGCATTACTGGGAGCTAAGCCATAAGTGCATAGCTGTGCTGCTGAGCCAGTTTTACCTAGCGCGGGGTTCCTTTCTAGGCCCCTGTGAGTTGTCCATCTATATGTGCCGGATCACCCGGGCCATCCAAGTTTCCCTTCCATTAAATAAATCTGGCCTTATATCACATCACTCTACAATGGTCACAATTAACGGCCACTGCGACTCGGCCTTCACTCGGGTGCGCGATCTCCTACAGCAATTGATCAACAATGAAGAAGAGCTAGGAGCCTCCATCTGTGTCAACATCAACGGCCAGAACGTAGTTGATCTCTGGGGCGGCCACGCAGACCCAGCCCGAACCAAGCCATGGGGAAAGGACACAGTAACCGTGGTATGGTCCGTTTCCAAAGTTATTACCGCCATCGCAACCAACGTCCTCATCGACCGTGGCCTCTTAGACCCGAATGAGAAGGTCTCTAAATACTGGCCCGAGTTCGCTGCGAACGGCAAGGAGAATATCCTGGTATCACAGCTTCTCAGCCACACCTCCGGAGTATCATCCTGGGAGCTTCCCAACACCTTAGATGATATTTACGATGCAAAGAGAGGTGCCGATAAACTAGCCCGACAGGCCCCCTGGTGGACGCCCGGCGAACGTTCCGGCTACCACGTAGCCAACCAGGGCCACTTGCTCGGCGAACTTGTCCATCGCATCACTGGAAAACCACTGGATGAGTTCATCCGCGACGAGCTTGCCGGTCCGTTAGCTGCGGACTTTCAGCTCGGGGTCCCAGAAAAGGACTGGCCGCGGACAGCAGACGTTTCTCCACCGCCGCCGCTGAGTTTGGACGGCGTTGACCCGCAGAGTGTTATGTTCAAGAGCTTTGCCAGTCTGCCCATGCCGGCTGAAGAAAGTATGGGTCCTGGGTTTAGGAAGGCGTTGATTGGTGCGACGAATGGATTCTCTAATGCTCGTGGGATTGCGCGCATTGCATCGGTCGTCTCGCTTGGAGGCACGGTGGACGGAAAACAGTATCTTTCTCCTGAAACCATTGACCGCATGCTGGAGGAGCAGATCAGTGGGCCGGATTTGGTCTTAATGTATCATTTGCGTTGGGGACTTGGTGTTGGATTGCCCGTCCCGGAGACGTTTCCTTGGTTGCCCGACGGTCGCATTGCTTTTTGGACGGGCTGGGGTGGTTCAGTCGTTGTTATGGATCTTGAGCGACGGATGACGATTGCCTATGTGATGAATAAGATGGGATCGGGCACGTTGGGGTCAGATAGGACGGCGGCTTATGTGCGGGCTGTTTATGATTGTCTTGGGTAAATGTGTTAGGTCTCATTAATATATATTATGGAGATACTGGTGCTGTACTATCTCAGCCATTTTTGCGAAGTACGACACCTCAGTTAGCAGTGGGAATGTAAATGACCATCACAATAAAAAGAAAAGAGGTATGCAAATACATTCACGGTGAGTAGTGGGAGGTGTGGTACTGTTGGAGGGTGCGGAAAACAAAAAAGCAAAAAAGAATGACCAGACTGGGGCTCGATCCCAGGACCTTATCGGTGTTAACGATACGTGATAACCAACTACACCATCCGGCCAATTCGTTGAAAGAAACTATATTGTTTTGTTATATGAACAAGTAGTATTTTCCCATACCAAAATACGTAAAACTCGAACAAGACTTGTCGGTGATCATCATTCCTCGACCAAAAGCCCAATGCGGTTTTAAAGGCAGCAGTGTACGTCTAACGCCCTAAGTCGTTCTTCTCGATGTCATACTTTCAGCGTGGAAATGCATAGTTACAGCGTGACAGAGGATCCTATACCTTGTAACTACACATCAATTCGATTACATCACGAAGCAGTTGTATAGCTAACGATACTTGCGCTTTCTTGTCAAGGAACCTCTTTACAGGGGCTTTTCCTGCGGCTTAGAGTTGCATAACACAGATGTGCATTGTGCCTAGGTGAAGCTTTTACATATGAATTAGCATGACGATCCCTCCAACTCATTTCTTCCATCTATCAACCTGACTACACCCACCTTGAAATGAACTGATACCCTACCATCACTTCCAGCTTCCCCATCCCCATCGCCCCCCTTAAAGGAACGCCTACCCCTACCCAAACAACCTCTCCCTCCTCATCCCCAACGAACTCACTACCCCAACAGCCCCAGCAACCAACGGAATGATAAACGCCCTCGCCATCGCATCCGTAATAGCCTTAATAGCCCGTTCTCTCAGCTCCCCACTCAAGCTCTTCAACAACGTACTCTGCACCCCGGCCACCGCGTTCCGAATCTCCGTCTCACTATACCCGCTCCCATCCAGCACCGCATTCAGATTCTCTACAGCAGTGGACTGAAACACCTGACTTGCCACCACAAGACAGATAACCGTGGCCCCAATCTGCGCAAAATTCTGCAAATTGATTGCGCTAAATATATCCTCGGGAGGTACCTTGAGACTAGCTACCGCGTACCCCAGCTGCATGGTCATACCCGTGCCGACGGCCATGAGAATAGTGAAGCCGTAGATCTGTCCCGCAGGGGTAGAAGGACAGAGATATCCGACAAAGAGGGCACTAGCGAGGGTAAGGAGGATGCCCGAGATGAGACAAAGCGGCATGTAGTATCTGGCCTTTGGGAGCAGCCAGCCGATGGCGAGGTTGATGGTGATGGTTACGAGGAGGTACGGGAGGAGACGAACAGCTGCCATTAAGGAAGAGTCGTTACGGGTGAATTGAAAGTAGATCGGGATGTAGAAGGTTGTGAAGAACATGGCGGTGTTGGCGCAGGTAGTTGTGATGTAGAGGAGGATTTGGGTGCGGGAGCGGAGGAGGTGACCGGGGAAGGAGCGGGTTTGAGGTATGGTGAAGATGCAAAAGTATTGTTGGAGGGCGTAGAGAATGAATAGGACGTCGAAGAGCACGATTAAGGTGATGGTCGCCCCAGAATCCCACGCCCAGATGCCTCCTGCCGAGATGAAGCCGAGTGCGAAGGTAACCCACATTGCGGCGCTGAGAACGAAACCCAGATAGTCGAGTCGGGTTAAGCGTTTGCGAAGCGATTATCCGGCACCGGGGTGGATGGCTGGGAGGTAAAAGAGATACACGGGGGCCGTGATGGCTCCGATCACCAGATTCAGGTAGAAGCCCCAGCGCCAGGTGGCAGAGGAGTCGGAGAATCCGCCTCCCACGACGGGACCCAGGATGGCACCCACGCCCCAGACAAATCCGGTCCCTGTCAGATAAGTGCCGCGTTCGTTGCGAGTGGTCATGGCAGAGAAATGATTGAGTCCGCCGAGGTAGATGCCTGTACCCCCAGCGCCTGCAATCACACGACCGACGATGAGGGCATCCATGGTCGGTGCGCCGCCACAGAGAGCGGAACCACCTTGAAATAACACGATGCCAGCAATGTAAAGCCATTTCATGTTCATGACAGTATAGAGAAATCCGTAGGGGAGAATCACGGCGACTGAGCCGAGCGGGAAACCCGCTCCAATCCAGGCAAGCTGCGACACATCCCCGAATCTCTCAATCACGGCGCCTTGCACATCCGCAGCGATGGTTGTATCAAGTCCATACATCAGAGCAGACAAATACAGAGCAGCGCATATCAGAAACCAACGAAACCCGGTAATCTTGCGGACATCGTCGTCGGTGGCATTTGCGTCGGCGTGATGCCCTTTTTCGTCGGGGTCTTCGCGATAAGGGAGAGAGCTATCCATGGCGCAGTCTGATATCTGGCTTGAAGGGAGTGAATGCGCTGCAGCATCCATTCGGGAAAGCTTGAGAGGGTTATCGTCTGTCGTAGGGAGGTCTGAGCGGCTGGGGAGACTCGTGCATTTGTATGGTGTCGAGTCTGGGAAGATCATCCCATCGCATATCCTTATGTCCGTTAGGACCGGCGGACCACATCAAAGATTTACCACGACAGGGACATTGCAAAACGTGTAGTCTCTGCCAGCGAAGCTTTGGTGCTACCACAATGGCGGGATTAGGGGTTTAGCAATAACTATCCCCGTGACAGGCCAGGGTATCACCACATAACAAACACGTCGCTCACCCGAAATTCGTCGGCCGAAGATAGAACGGCCCACGCACTCACCCGAAAACGAGCACACCGTCTCCGAGATCATCCAAACCAACGATTGAATTAGCCACAGCCTCAAACTAAAATTGGAATTGATGGTCTATTGCCAACATCCCCGTTCGCAATGTGCAGATTATTGATCAGCCCGAAGCACTCGGTCTTAATACAGCTTTCAGGTGGCACTTATCCACGTAATGGAGGTAGCAACATGCAAATTAACTCAGAAAAAGCCTTTCATTGGGCTTGAAATAAACCCGAGGAATGGGAAGGAGGGAGGTTTTTCGTTGATAAACATACAGCAAGTAGGAGAGAAAGTACACTGCTGGGTCATTGCTTTTAGGGGCCCGGAACGTAACTGCCGATGTTCTCCATCCTAAACAGAACGAGTAATTAATTCAAATTGTATTGTATTGCATGTCTTCTAAGCGACCTAAATGCGCTGGGTACAGGAACTTCGGCCTCGAGTTGCAGCGCCTGCTTTTTGCCCTTACCGGGACCTCAGACGCAAATACCCCTTCTTGGCACGGTAGGAGATATCGTAGGTCGCCTCATGACCAGCCAAAGCCTCAGGTACATCGAGAAAATCGAACTTCCAAGTCAGCATGACAGTCAAGATTCTCATCTCGAGCTGCGCCAGACGGCGCCCCCAGCAAGCCCGGATACCCAGCCCAAACGCCAACTGCGGGTACGACGAGCCATCAAATTCGAGCTCACCACGCTCGTTCTGGACCAGCCATCGCTGTGGGTCAAACGCCTCAAGATCCGGATTTCCACCACCTGGGTACCTTTGGCTCGTCTTTATTTCACTCCAATACTGGGAGGAGGGCGAAGAGGAGTAGTCCGGTCCCTGACAGACGAGAAGGACGACCGTGCCTTTCGGGATCGGACGACCCAGAAGTTCTGTGTTTCGGGTAGCGTCGCGTGGGACGAGCATAGCAGCTCGAAGTCGCAGGGTTTCTTCCAACACTGCGTCTAAATAGGGGAGTCGAGATTGAATAATTTTAGCTGCCGTCGGTAGGCGACATTCCTGGACAGCACCTACACAGACCGTCTGCAGCTCGTCCCGAAGTCTCGTCTGAATGGCAGGGTGCTCAGCTAGTAGCTTTAGAATCCACACTAGTGCCGCACTGGTTGTATGTTGGCCGGCAATGAGATTTCCGTAGGCCTAGATGCAATGATTCGTGCGTTAGTAGGGATTTTAGTGGCGGAGAAACTTGCCTACTAACCTCGTCTATCATGATCTGCTTGCCATACATAGGCTGCCGGTCGAACTCACGAGCTGCCTTGTGCTCCCTGTAGATCATGTAGTCAATGCCAGCTTTAGGCTGTTCTTCGTTGCTGAAGCGATGCAGTGCCAGGTTGATATGTTGGCGGATAAAGCGATCTTTGCCTACGAAGAACTTCCGGTAAGACGGGGATATGTTCCGTGCCCACGAGGTCACGATCGAAGGAGGCCATTTCGTGGTGTAAATGGCAGCCATCCGGTCACCCACGTCGGTCAAACCCTGTTGGAATAAATGCAACGGTGCTTGGGGAAAGGTGACGTCGGTGTGCTTCCCAATGACCAACTGAGAGCTGTCGAGTTGCTCGACAAACTCAATTTGTCTCCGCAAAGCCGAGTCCTGGAAATCTTCTCCAAAGTGGAAGCGCACAATTACATCAAGAGCCAGCATTTTGGTCAACCAACATGCTGAAGGGCTTTCCATTTGCTACCCGGGCTTTAGATTCCCAGAGGTGTATGAGTTTGAGCACCAAAGAGTGAATGATAGGACCCACGGTTTGGTGCAGATAGTGTGGTGCTAAAAGGTCTTTCAACCCGCTGCGGGAGGTCCTCCAGGGGTTCCCGTTTTCATGTTGAGGTGGAAGATTCCAAATAATGGGAACCGATTGATAATGTAAGATGACCGGTCGAAGTCACTTCTTCTCATCAGCAGCTCGCGAGTCTGGCCGACGTGAGCCACAAGGACCACCGGCTTGGAGAGCGGGCCCATCAGCGCCTGGCAGATCGGAGATCCATGCTCCTCAAGCTGCTTGCTGCACCACTTGGCTAATCCTGCAGGGTCGCCTCTCAGGGCAGGCGCGTCGCCCAAAATGATGTAGCGGCTCGCTTGTTGTAAGGGATACCTGGCAATGGGCTTGGGAGAAGTGATCGATAGAGAGTGTATAGCTCCACCAGGACGGTTATAATTGACTAAATAATATGGTATTCATGGGAATCGTCAACGAAGTTGGCCAGATAAGAAGACGCCATTATGTCTGCGAACGGTGAATGTTGTATTACTAATATATGTTGGACAGGGTAGGTAATATCCAGTTGGTCATTTAGAGGGCTGTTCTGGGCTAAATATTTATGGGTCCCAAGGCTAAGGATAAGTTCGTCATCCTGATACCAATCATACATCTTCAGAAGCACCAACAACAATGCCGATGTTCATTGGCTCAATGATCGTGATTGTCTCTGCCTTTCGGCCATTATCGTGGATTGGAAACTACTTTGGCAAACCCCGCTTCCTTCTCCGATATACCTGTTGTTGAGCTCCAGTGTCAGAAGAGAGTGATGTTTTGGGTCGGAGGCAGTGTTGGAAGCTCATCCGAACTATATCGGCCGACGAACTTCGGGGATAACGTCGGACGCACCCTTCCCAGGCAATTCACTCCAAACGGAGCGAGAAGAGCTGACGTCGAACTTAATCGGATTTTTGGCAAACCCTCTTTCTAAGTGATTGTTGGACACGTTGACCACCGTACACATCCTCAAATAGCGGGTGCAGGAGTTCCGAATCTCAGACGTAAGCACTAACGGGCCTTTGAATCGTATATTCTGCTAACAACTAATTACTGTTTATCGCGTTGATGCTTCACCTAGCAGTCCAAGCTAAGAAAATCCTGCTACAAACCACGAACAACAGCCTCAGACGGATGCTTGATCCCAGATCCCCATCATCACCGACAGTGACTAGAAGCCTGATGCTGCTAGGATGAGGATAACTCCACTTTACGAGTGAATATTGCCATTCCAAGACGCACGGTCCAGAGAAGGAAATTGCAGCATTGAGTATGAGTCACCATGCGCTATCATGGGTAACATGTCTGGCATCAAGGTTGGATTTAATTCTTCGGAAGACATCCAGAATCCGGAGCCGTCTTCTAGATTGAGGAAGTTCGAAAGGATGGCCGGAGATGAAGAGTTCCGACTTGACTCAATGAGTGCAATATTCTCATTAACCAGGAACTTACCAGTTCAATTCATCGACGAAATACTGCATCAGAAAATCTAGGATCGGACGGGGAGGGATTTTTTCCAGGTCTTGTTTGACCTTCTGTAGCACTTCACTTGACATGCCCTGGGTGCTTCTGTCTGTGTCCCCTTCGCCACCCAAGTCCCACTAGGCCATTTCAGATTAACCACATGTTTAGGGGGAAATTCGAAAGTGCTTGTGTGCATCTTACCTTCTTTAGCAAAGCCATTGTGTTAGAATCACTGTGCTCGAAGTAGCCGAACGATTTAGCCAGAGCTGAGTGTGAATTAGACGAGCCATTCTGTGTCTCGGCCGGGGAGGTCTTGGGAGACCCATCTGGTAAGTGGATATTGGGGGGTTCCTGGGGCTCAGGGTCTCTCGTAGGCTCCAAGAGCAAAGTGCTCGAGGAGTCTCCAGTAACGATGGACTGGTAGACACACTCCTCCGGCCGTCGACGTCGGGTGCAATGGTTGCACGGGTATTGGCGGTTGCACTAATTATTTTTGCAATTGGCATCAAAATTCGAGTTTTTCTGAGTGCAGGATGAGTGATGATTACGCACCCTCTGTTTCCTGGTGTAGCAGGGCACACAGGTGGTGACCCGACGCTTTCGGTCGGTGGGATGCATTGCGGCTCTTCCCATCTTATCGACACCTCAACAGCAGCGGGCCCGACGCCTAGCTATCGGAGGAGGATTATCTGTTCTTCTTTCAGAAACTGATACGTTGTGAAAGGATGAGGGGAAATAGCTTACTGTGGAACAGTTTCTGTGTCTGGAGGTCTCTTCGGGATAGTGAGGGGGTATGTCTCGACCAGCATTTGGAGTGACAGACAAAACAAACTGTCAGACATTTGGGGCCAGAAGTCAACACGACCAGTCGGTCCGTGAGCCTGCATGTGGCTTAATTTCAGTCCGGATAAGATCGGCCATGCGGAACGGAAGAACCCGCCGGATCTACTTGTTTATGCTTACTCTACTTCAAATCCCATCATCAAGGTTTTTTGCGGCTCCCTGGCTGTTTCTGGGGGTGTCATTGGTGGCATGAATCCAATGCATCACGATTGCACTCTATCTGGCCCTCCTGATCCGTTTCAAAGATGACCGGGCCATCCCGGCACTATGCATGATATGGTTGATCTGTCACATTTTGTGGAGTAGGAGCATAGACCCTAGCGGAAGCTGTGAAATCAGACACGCTGCATCTGGTCTCAAGGGAAATCATTAGCCAGCAGGATCACCAGGCTTACATTAACGACACCAACTTGAAGCCGCTCATTGTACTGCATATCATGTTGAAGCCCAGTTACTGTAGGTTTGTTCACATCATTCCAGTTATAGGACGTGCCCGAACAGATCACATTCCTGTACTACGTACCTCCAGTGGTCCGTTCAAGTGGGATTAATCTTCGCCAGAGGGCCGTTGACCCCAGCACTATCTAGACTGGCTCCATCCTATCTGCTGGCATCAAAGGAGTATGCATGGACGGAGACCATCGAGTTCGTGACTGAGGCCATTCAGGCCATTGTGGCAGGCATGTTGTTTGTGGATGTGGGGAGCGTGAACGGCAACAAGACGGTGGCGGAGCATGGCATTGATAGTTTATTGGCGGCAGAGTTCCGCAATTGGTTCTAAGGGACCTTTGGCATGGTTGTTAGTCTGTTGGAGTTGATGGATGCGAGGATGAGCTTAAGAATGTTGGCCAGGTCGGTGGTTGAGGGGGCGGTCGGAGCTAAAGAGTAGGAGTAATCTCGTATACCATTGAGCATCCACGGTATCCCATAGACAAGACTATATATATTAAGAAAGTGGTTATGTACATCTCATTTTGCTAATATCCATCATTTACTGACGATTTCCATGTTTTGTCCTAACCCCGCTGATACACTCCCATTCCCACCCCCAACATGATCTACCGCCCACTGAATATACACCATATACCCTGTGTTCAAATGTCTCCTTACCCCCTCCAGAATATGCCTTGGCCACCCAGAAATAAACCACACCTGGTCCAGCCGATCAAGCAGATACAGAAAGAACGCAAACATAATCAACGCGACCGGCTCCCTCCGCTGCAAATCACCCACCACGGCATCCGGCAACTGATACAGCCATGCAAAGACGAGCGGGAACAGAGCCATTCCTATTGTTCCCTGCGGATCGGGACCCATAACGACGTCGAGGCTATCGCGTAGTCGATCTAATGTTTGCAGGTAGATTGGTAATTTTGGGTCTTCGATGGGTATAGATGCCATGAGAAGGGCGCGGTATGTCTGTAGGTGGTGACGGTAGTCTCCTAGCTTTGTCTTTCGTTGTAAGGTAGACTCAGAACCGTCGCCTTGTGTCTCATTTCGCAGTTTATCAGAGGCAGGCGCAGAACTATTGTCTTCTCCATGAATTGCAAATACACTTGTCGGCATATCCCCGCTACACAGCTCGAATACAGATCTGACACCTAGAAACAGAGACAGATGGCCTGGGTCCCCATCACTCCGGAAAGCGAGGTACTCCCCCGGTTGAGGGCCACGGGCGAGACTAGAGATGAAGATGAAAATCGCCGAGACATACATCGCGGGGCTGTTATCCTGGTCAAGGTGCGGTAATGTGGCTGAAACGTCTCGGACAGCAACGTTAAAGTGGCGTTCAGCTTCGGTGTAGATTTCTGTCTCTGTGAAACCCATGCTTTGGCTCCACTGTTGATCGTCCGAACGTCGCACGAGATGGAAGCCTGAGAAGGCGAGGAGAATGTGCATGACATAGTGGTGGGCGAAAGCGATTTGGCATAGTTGTTGACGGGCTTTTGGTTGAGCGCCGGTTAGTTCAGGGGATGTGGAAAAGTGGTGGAAGAGGAGCATGTCCAGTGCTGTGTATTGGAAGGGGCGCTTGACTAGGTCGTTGTTAGGTGGGAGTGGGTCAGGTTCTGATGTGTGGGAAGTGCCATGGCCTCGTCTTGGGGGTTGGAAGTTCGTGGGTGTGGATGAGTAGAAGGTGTAACTATCTGTGCTGGGACCCTGTAATGGCGGTGAAACTGAGCTTGAGTGTCGGGATGGTGGAGTGGAGTTGAGATCAGGCTGGGGTTGAGAGCTGTAGTCGCACTCTATGGAATGGCGGAGACAGTTGGTGCAGTGTGGTTTGATCTCATCACACTGGAAGTCGGTTAACATCCTTCATTCATCCGGAGTGGAGAAGCAATTGGGAACTGACTTTGACCCTACGCCTCTTACAGTTCTTACAGCCTAGACGGGATTTCCGATGGCCTTTGCGCGATAGCTTTTGCGTGTATGGGGTGAGTGAGGCGCCCATTGTCACAGTACATGGGATGGGTCAGCAATGGGTCATCGGCATGCCAGGAAGGCTAGATAATCGAGGAGGGATGCGACGTGGGCACCAGCGGCATGCTTAAAATTTAAACGGGGCGAATAACGTTGGTTCCAGAAGGACTTCAGGGGGATTGCCCCACTCAACTACCCTTCAGCCCTGTCCGGTGAAATTCCGGTTTTACTTCGGGGGGTTTCCCCGGAATGTCTGGTTCAGCAATTGTAGGTTTTGTTTTCTCTTGCAATTTTTATATATCCATTACAAGCTTGCAACATGCTTAGCCAATATTTCTCTCTTCATGACTCGGGCCCCCTTGTGATTGATACCGGCTGCGTGCTCTATATTTCCATCTCCTCGCGGCGCCTTCTAACCTCCATTTTCAGAGTCGGGTCAAGTGCCATGCCAAACCCACCAGAGAAAATCCTTGGTACCGTCCCTTCCAACAGCTTCCAGTCATACCGCAGGAGGAGATAGATTAATACAATCTTCACTTCATTGGCAGCAAAGAAGCGTCCAGGACATGCATGTTTGCCATGTCCAAAAGCCAAGTTCTCCGGGGCGGTTGTAACAAGTTGTGCCTGAGTCTGTCGCTCAGGATCATCGCGCATCTTATAAAACCGGTATCCGTCCCAGGAGGTCGCATTTTCGTAGGTGTCGTCATCCCATAGCTTGTGTGCCGATACCGCAAGCATGCCATTCTTCGGGATGACCGTCCCATCGGAGAGCTTGACTTCTTTAAGAGCCATCCGGCGCATTGAGACTATATACAAATATTCAGTCAAATTTCTGGAGGTATGAGAACGGATAGAATGATGCTCTACTTACCATTGGTGACTGGTTTCAGTCTTTGGCTCTCTCGGATAACGCTATCCAACAATTTCATGTTGTACAGAGCGGTCTTTTTCCAGCCTTATTGTTGAGAGTATCTATAATTTCCTTGCGTAAAGGCTCCAAAATCTCCGGATTTTGTACGAGATGGGTCATTGTCTGACACGTCAGGTCCGAAGTTGTATGGAGAGCCCCAACAGAAACGATCAGCTGCGCGCCGACTGGATCATAAGGCCGACCCTTCGCGGCCTTTTCGAACCATTCAATAGCATCATCAAATATTGGTGACTGTTTACCCTCTGCTTGAACGCCTTCCTTTAATTGACGCCTCTCCTCCAGTATTGGCCGCATGACCTTCCGAGCTGTACTCACCTGAGACCTGAGCTTGCGACATCGGGGCAAGAACCAGTGTACGATGGGGTGAATAGCTGCAGGCCACATGCGGAGTTCTGTCATCGCTAGGAAGCCATCTATGGTATAGCTTTGAGTGATTCGCAGCCATTCTTCATTTCGGCACAGCTTCTCCCCAAGAAAAACACGAGAGGAGATGCGGGAAATGAGAGCCACTATTACACCACTCAAGTGGATTGTATGCCATTCTAACAATACACTCATCAGCTTTCCCACTGGCAGGTCAAAGAATAGAGATCGTCTACCATCGTTATCGGTTAACAGCTCACGGACGGCCACGGAAGTTTCATCGGCAAGGGGCTCGGTGACCTTATCTGTAAGGAATCCGGATTGAAAATCAGTATGTGAAGATGCACAAACTTCACTATTGGTGAGATTGGGTGACATACTCAAGTACTTCGTCAGGTCATTTGCAATAACAGCCTGGACAATCCCCGAGTCTTGGCCACTTTCACGGAATCCGTCGAATCCAGGTAAATTTCCATGGAATGCCTGAGGCCTTCTTAGTCTTCCACGCAAGCAAGTTGTGCAACTGCAAATATTGAAAAGGCAAAGAATACCTTCATAGCCCATCGGGAGAAGCTCAGATTCTCGTTATTCCGAATCTCGTTCGCCATACTCGGGGGAAGCATTGTCATTTTCCCAACATCGGTATGCAAAGGTACTGGCGTGTTGGGGTGGGTTGCAAACCAATCCCGTAATAGCCTCTGAGCATTGAAGAAGAATTCCTGCTTGACTCTGGTAGACGTGAGCTCGAAGGGTCTCTTTGGATTGAGGGCCGTGTCCTTATATGTGAATTTCCGAAGTAAGAGAAGGGAGAGGCCTAAAGCCAGCGATATAAGGACGGGAACTGGCATCGAGGTGTAACCCAACATGTTCTCCATGCTTGCACGCAGGAACCCAAGAAGGGTGTCTGTGGGGATCATAACGTAGGAGTGTAACAAAAGACGATGATAGAGGATATACCGGCAACGAGGTATGAGGACAGACTCCCGTCGATACTTATCTCCGGGGGTGTGTAGCAAAAGTGTAAGCGATAGCACTAGTGCTGCAAGATCAATCTACTAGTCATTACTAGATAGTCCAAATCCGGTAAAGGCTTCATGCATGAATAGTCGCCACGCAAACTAATCCCGAGGATACGAGGAATGATTCAGCGCTGCTAACACTTACGCAGTCGGCTGACTCCCATTGGAAGCTATTAGCCCACTGATTGATAAATTGTGAAATTGCTTGTAAACCCCATGAATCCCCCAGAGTCCCCATTTAGATTCGAAATTGATCGCAAAAATCTTAGTGATTGCTGCGCGGTTCGGGCCGGGATCGCGTGTCAAGGTCAAAATCAAAAGATCGATGATTTGCCGAGACAAGCATGAATTACAATGCCACCAAATATAGAATGATACCTATGAGGACAATGAATCGTGAGATTCGAACTACAAGGGTTGGGATGCATGGATCTGTGGTACTAGTGAGTCACGCTAGTCGCAGTCTTGAGTCTTATATGCTAGGCCGTTTGCACGAGTAGGAGCAATATGGAGAATCTCTGGGTATTTCTCCGAGCAATATTAGCGTCGGATTCAACGAAGCACCGGAGATGCTGTTGGCCTACGGTCTTGTCTAACAAGGTGTTGCTAATTCATGGGGTTGGATCTCAAGATGAGGGCGGATACCAGGCATCTGCCTATGACAGACCGAGGAATAGCGGTAAGACCCCCACTCTCGGGATGAAAGCGGTTTGATTTATATGGGAATGTGGTTCTCAAAGTTAAAACAATGGATGTGCTACAGTGGCGCAGTGGATTTTGCTTCTGTGATACTATCGCGAAAGCTTATCCAGGGTCATCTAATTTGACACTCAGAGCTCATCGAGGGACAATTTTTACAGACAAGATCTGATAATGGTCAGATATACAGGCGCAGTCTATTCGAAATAAGTAATATGCACAGCAAGGAACAAAGGGAACCAAAGTGACAGTGCAAGAAAAGTGAAAAGAAGTAATATCGTTGGAATTGCGACAAATAATATCATCATTGTTATCAAAAAGTTATTTACAGTCAATAGGTGCATTGATCACGGTGTAGAGCAGGGGGCTACGCGGAATTGCTTTTTCCAGGCGCTTAATTCTCACCCACCACTTCCTGACCCCGCTCCGAATCCGAAACGCACCCATCGTCAACCCACATTTTTCCGCAACTGAGGCGAGCAAAATGACCTGTAAGGAGACCCTGACAGGCATTTTCATGCCTAGCACCTGGAAGAAGCGAAATAAAGCCGCCGAGGAGGTAAAGCATAGACATTTGACCAGCCAGAACCGAGTGTGGTTAACGTTATTGGCGTAGTCACCAAAAGTCGAACCTTCCTCTTCGACTGCTTCGCCTGCTTCGTCTGCACTGAGACAAGAATCACAAAGTCGCTTTCAACCCGCCAACACAGTCCAGGCTCTGCCAGATGAACCTATATTTCATTGCCACCCGGAAACCGAAAGCAAGAATGTCGACCTCGAGACTAGCCACGAAGAAAAGAAGGAGATGGCGGACAAGAAAGAGACGAGGGAAATGAAAGAGACGACAGACAAAAAGGCAATGGTGGATAAGAAGGAGGCTCATACTGAGCTTCTTAGCAAAGTCGAGCCGGAGGAACTGAGCCAGCAATTGCATGATAAAACGCAGCGCAACGGCCTTTGGGAAGCAGCTTACCGGAAGGTCGAGCAGGAAGTGAACAAAAACGTCATGGCCCACTTTGTCAAGCTTTTGGTAGAGGCCGAGGTCAGTCAATACGAGCAAGGCACGAGCAATGACGATGCCGATGAAAGGGGCAATACGGGCGATCTTGAAAAGCTGCAGGATATTGTCAAGGGCAAACTGGATGTGATACAGAATGCAAAACTGGTCGTTAGGGGCCGAGTCGTTAGGGACAAAGTGTCTGAGATATTCTGCACGGTCAAGATGTTCAAGGATATTATCACAGCGACCGTTAGTGCAGAACCTCATGCAGCTCTGGCATGGGGTTGCGTGGCAGGATTTTTCCCGGTATGTCATTTCAATCAATACTTGTTGCAACATCGCCGTTGCCGAGACTTTTCACAGATACAGATTAAGCTTGTCCTTTACGCCTTGGTGCTGAATACTAGGCTGCTAACCTTTGATTATAGTTGCTAGATAATGCACTGACACAGTTTGATACCGCCAAGGCTGGGCTGAAAGATATTTCTGACATCTTGGTTCGTTGTCGACTCATAGAAACGACCCCTTTAATCTCTAGGGATCAGTCATCTGAATATCAGGGAATCCTTTCTCGGGTGAAAGACAAGATGATTGACCTTTATTCACAGTCTTTAAAATATCAGATTTCGCTGGTGGCCCAGTACTCTCGTCCTTCCATCAAGCGTCTTCTAAGGGACGCCGTTCTGAAAGACAATTGGACGGCCATGCTTACGAGTATGAAGAATACGGAAGATAGTATCACTTCGGATTTGGGAAAGCTCAATCAGAAGATAATTACAAGCATTGATGATCAGATGTCCCGCCTGCGGCAGACTGTGAAGTCAACTTTGGATGAGAGTAGAAAAGCTCACGAGGAGATCAAGGTGTGTTGAACAGTCGTACCAGCGGGCTTTTCGTTAACCATTGCAATTAGCTCCTCACACAGGACGCCTTGATTAGGGGACTGCCGGAAGCCGAATATGCTGCATTTGATACTTATAGGAAGGACATGCCCCCTCCACCATACTGCCATGAAGATACCCGGAAACAGATTCTCCGTGAAATTCAAAGATGGGGAAATGGAGGTGATAACAACTGCATCTTTTGGCTTAGAGGCATGGCAGGCACTGGCAAGTCTACCATTGCTCGGACTGCGGCCAAGATGTTCAATGATCAGCTTCTTCTTGGCGCCTCATTTTTCTTCTCGAGAAGCAATGCCGATCGAGCAGATCCGGATAGACTCTTTCCCACTCTGGCCCGACAATTAGCAGATGTGCTCCCTGGCTTTGCAGCCCCCTTGAAAGATTCCATCCAGCAAAAGCATGGTGTGGCTCAACAGTCTCTAGATCAACAATGGCGATGTCTCCTTCTTGAACCCCTTTCTGCGCTGAGTGACAAATTCTCGCATCCGATGGTTTTAGTCCTTGTGATTGACGCATTGGATGAATGCCAGAACGGACGTATATATGCTCAGAGCATCTTAAAGCTTTTGGCGACAGCGAAAACGCTAAAAAAAGTTCGGCTACGGATCTTTGTGACCAGCAGACCAGAGGATTATCTGGCTGATGGATTCACACAGATTCCCTCAACGACTTATTATGATGTAATGATTGATGGTACTGGAGACCTGACCACAGAACGAGACATCCGTATCTTCCTCGAGGACAAACTTTCCGAGATTGCTTTAATAAAGCAGCCTAATGGCAGGACCCAGGAAGCGTGGCCTGGCAAAGAACGAGCAGAAAAACTTATTGAACGATGTGGACGATTGTTCATCGCCGCAGCGACTGCCTGTCGATTGCTTGAGGCTACTGAGTTCCTCGACGCTACCTTGGATTTGTTGCTCAATACGAATAAGCAGCATGTTTCTCTTACCAAAGATATTGATGAAATGTACAAATTCGTCTTGAAGCAGGCAATCACAGAGCGCGGTTCAGATAGTATATATCTGATTCCTCTGTTCCAGCTAGTAGTTGGGTCAGTCATCACCATGCCAGACGCCCTCTCACTGCGTAATCTTGCCACGCTTCTCCGAGAACCCTGCGGAAACATCAGAATAATGCTCAAAAATCTGAAGTCAGTCCTGGTTGTGCCCGAAGATGACGACTCGCAGGTTTCAATCTTCCATCTTTCCTTTCGTGACTTTCTTGTCGATCCAAATCGATGCGATGATGAGAACCTCCTCATTGACGAGAAGGAAGCAAATAAGACACTTTTCCATCGATGCATGGATGTTCTTCGTGAGCAGGGCAGCCTGCGCAGAAATATTTGCAATATTCAACATCCAGGAACTGCAGCGGTTGAGGTATCGCAGGAAATCATCAACAAGCATCTTTCCCATGAGGTCCAGTATGCCTGTTGGAACTGGGGTACCCATATCAACTGTGCGGGGTCTATTCAAACAAAGGAAACCACACAACTCATGAACTTCTTGAAAGAGCATTTCACCCACTGGCTAGAGGTTCTAAGTCTGACGAGGAGGATGTCACATGCCAGTCCCACGATGACTGAACTGAAGACTCGAGTTGCCGTGAGTACTGTCCCGGCATCTCCCTGTAGGCATATTGACATGAGGAGCAGCCTGGGGACTATCCAGAACTTTTCGAATTTGTTGATGATGGGAGACAATTCATCAACCATCATGGCATTGACATTGCCGAGGCTCCGCTTCAGATCTATTACTCTGCCCTTATTTTCTCCCCACCATCAAGTGTGCTACGAAAGCAATATCAGAAAGAGTCTCCCCGGTGGATAAGACTTACATCTACTACTCACGATTCATGGGGCCAAGCTGAGCGTATACTCCGGTGCGGGGAGCCACGATGTGCAAACTTCTCTCCTGATTCAACCAAGGTCGCAGCTGGTACTCTATTTGGTAATGTAATGGTCTGGAATCTAATCACTGGCGAACTGGAGCAAGTACTACAAGACCATGGTCTAAGTCCTGGGCAGAAAGAAGTTTTGGGAGTATCATTTTATCCCAATGGCAGGAATATAATGGCAGTCTATAAAGATCACACTGTCAATACTTTCGATATTGTTTCGGGGCACCTGGATCGACGAGAAAATATACCGGTCGGTGTCAGTGACGTTGCGGCTATTAAATCATTGCCTGGCTCAAGAAGAGTTGCGTTCCTTCAAAAACATAACCAAGCAGTGTGTCTCTGGGACCCTGAGT